GAGAGAGAGAGAGAGAGAGAGAGAGAGAGAGAGAGAGAGAGAGAGAGAGAAAGCCAGACTACGGATCTTCTGAGACAGTGACCCGATGATGTCATCACAGTCAGGGCCCCACCCTCCTCCATCAGAGACCCGAATGCTGGGATTTGTGTAACTTTCATTTCTTGGGGTCCCCTCCTAGTCCTTGTGGGTTGTGGAGCAGGAATGGAAAAAGAGGACGGAATATGGAAGAGGAGCCAGGGCCCTGCTGGCCTCTTGCCCATCATCCTGCCCAGGATGAGAGGAGCCACACCCTAACAGGCCAGCTGTCCCTCAACTGTCCCTTCATACCTTGCTCTTGAGTGTGGCCCAGAGAGGAGAAACATCATTAGCTGTCCATTATGACAGTCTCTTTCTGCTTGGTCGGGTGTGACTTCCTGGCTGGTGACCCCTGGGTGATTCCACAGCCCAGCGCTGACCCGTGGCATGCGATGAGTCTGTTGGGGGCACTCTGTCTCACCTTTGCTTTTTTCTACATTATTGATATGGTGTGGGGATGGGATGCCTTGAGCTGCAGCAGCCACTTTGTAACCTGAGGCATCCTGCAGGAGCTCAGAAATGGATTCACTGGGGAGGTGGAGGGGGAGAGTCAATGGCCGTCCTGGGTTCTTCAGTCACTGAACAAGTCCCCAGACCATCAACTCCTGGACTTCCGTTTGGACAGACATACTCAGGGTATAAGTTGGCTCACTCCTGTTGACTGGGGCTGTCCCTTCCAACTTCACACACCACACAGTCTCCAGGATTCTGCGTCACTGTGGCTCTTAAGCAGGCTGCCTTATTTACCCGCCCCCCCTTTGCCTTTATAGTACCAGGGACTGAACCCCAGGCCAGGAGACACATGGGCACTGAACAGGCAGCCTGAAAAGGACGCTGGAGGTGAACCAGGAGTCCTCAGCCCCTCCCTGAGCGCTCAGGTGCCTGTTTGAAGCAACCTGGGCCGAGGAGCTGGGCTCTGCCCCAGGGTGGGCGCCATGCTCCCCAGCTTCAAGCTGCCTCCCTGGACCCCACGCCCCAAGCTTCTGGACGCTCCACCCCACTTTCATGATACCCTGAGATCCCTCCGCCAGCCCGAAGGACAGAGGGCCAGCCTCTGGCGGTTGCCGCTTACACAGTTGAGTCCCTGTGTGTCTGGGGGTGTCAGGGGTGGGGAGACAGGCAATTGCTCCCAGCCAGAGGGCACGCATGAGAGCCAGGTGCGAGGGAGACCGCTGGCCCCCAAAAGCTGTGACTTTTAACACCCAGAATACTGAACCAGAGCCAGGCCAAGCCGTCAGTTTTTCCTCCGTGCCAAACCCTACCACGGCTTTGGAAAATGCCCATCAGCCTGACTCTGTTCCCCTGCTCTGAAACCTCAGGGGTAGACGTTTGTCCCAACCTCATCCCCAGCCTCCTACCCATCCTTTCCAAGGTTGCCCTGGCCCTGGCTGGGGAAGCCTCTATCCCTCACCCCCTCCCCACCCCCAGAGATCTTGACTCCAGAGGAAGCAGAGGACAGTGTGCTGGGCCTGGGCTGGGAGGCCCTGCCTGCTCACATGGGTTTGATCTCAGAGGGCTGCGCATGTCCTGGAGCCTTGAATATCCTAGGTTCTGCATAAGATCACCCACAGCCTGCCCTTACCTTTTTTTTTGGTGTGTGTGTGTGTGTGTGTGTGTGTGTGTGTGTGTGTGTGTGTGTGTGTACAAGGTGTGTGGTAGTGGACCTGTGGTCAGAGGACAACTTGCAAGAGTTGGTTCTTTTCCTTTACCATGTGGATGCTGGGAATTGAACTCAGGTCATCAGGCTTGGCAGCAAGCTCCCTCACCCACTGAACCAGCTCACTGGCCCTTCTTCTTCTTCTTCTTCTTCTTCTTCTTCTTCTTCTTCTTCTTCTTCTTCTTCCTCCTCCTCCTCCTCCTCCTCCTCCTCTGTCTCCCTCTCTTTCTCTCCTCCTCCTTTTTTTTTTAAGACAGCGTCTTGCTATGTAGCTCAGGCTAGCCTCAGACTCACAATCCTCCTGCCTCAGCCTTCTGGGTGCTGGGATGACTGGGCCAGGAGAGTCTTCCATACTCTTTGTCCCCCAAGTGTGCTCAACCTTCCTATTTGTGTGCGCACATGTATGTGGGTGCAGGTGGGGGTACACATGCATGGGTGTACACATTTGTGTGGAGGTCAGAGGACGATCTCAGATGCTCCTCAGACCCTGCCCACCTTGCTTTTGGAGACAGTCCCTCACTGGGCCCTGGGGCTCACCAAGTAAGCTAGGTCAGCGGCCAGCCAGCCCCAGGAGCCCCTGTCTCCACCTCCCAGCACTGGGATCATAAGTGTACGCCACTATGCCCAACTTTTTCCCCTGGGTGCCCGGAATTGAACCCAGGTCCTCATGCTCAAGAAGGCACGTGTTTTACTGACTGAGCTGTCTCCCTGGTCCACAGCCTGTGAATTTGACTCCTTGACAAATTATACAAATGGAAACTTGGGGCTGGCTCCAGGCGCCCCCGCTTTCTGCTCTCTCCTGGCTGGTCCTCCCTGGAGAGAGTAATCGCTCTCTCTTCTCTCTCTCTCTCTCTCTCTCTCTCTCTCTCTCTCTCTCTCTCTCTCTCTCTCTC